AATCCAATATTTATGTATATATTTCTATATATATATATATATATATATATATATATATATATATATATATATATATATATGTGTGTGTGTGTGTGTGTGTGTCTCCGCATGCCGGACACAAGAATTCCCAAACAGGTGTTTTTCGGACAGCTGGCTTCTGGAGTTCGCCTTGCAAGCGGTCAAGTTCGCAGATTTAAAGATAATCTGAAGGAAAACCTAAAAAAAGTTGGACTGGATTCTAAAACCTTGGGTGTCGTTGCGCTCGAGCGTTCACAGTGGAAGACACGCTCACAAGCGGCAGTTTCCGCCTTTGAGGAGGCGCGCATTGCAGCTCTAGTTGGAAAAAGAGGACGGCGTAAGCAGGTGGCCCGGGATGGTAACAGCACAGGGGTGGGTGTGGGTTTGCGGATCCTGTGGTCGTCGATGTTCATCAAGAATAGGCTTGTTCTTGCATCAAAGGGCTCATCAATGACACAATTCGTCGAACGCGACGATGTATTCCATGTGTGTGTGTGTGTGTGTGTGTGGTGTGTGTGTGTGTGTGTGTAATGAATGAACGGACTACATTACTGTGCTTCTACTTTAAGAATTTTTTTTTGTCAAAATGAACATCCTCATCAACAACAACAACAACAACTTCATCATCATCGTCATCATCAACAAAAACAAAAACAACAACAACAGCAGCAGCAACAAACAACAACAACAACAGCAGCCGCAGCAGCAACAACCGACAACAACCGACAACAAACCTGTTTGGCCATGGCAATAACTCTCCTGATACTCAACTCAGCTATGTTAACAAGATCTGCAAAACTTGCCTGACTCCTAGGCACATCCTTGTCCATCTGAATGTCTAAGCTCCGCCTATAGGCTATTAATAGCTCTTCAATAGCCAATGAATCGTCGCTTGTGAGGGCGCACGTCTGAGAACTGACCAATCCCACATTGCTGCCGTCGACAATGTTGTTGTTGTTGTTGACGTTGTTGTTGATGATGTTGTTGTTACTATTGCTGTGATGATGGTGTAAGTAGTTGTTGTTGTTTGTTGTGGTTATCGTGTAGATGTTGTTGCTGTTGTTGTTGTTGTTGCTGCTACTGTTGTTGTTGTTGTTAACTTTTAGCTGGCTTTGAAGGTCTCGTTCTAATTGGTTGCTGTGTTAATGACGAAAGATGATGATGATGATGATCACGATGGAAGAGGATGATGATGATGAAGAGGATGATGATGTTTGGGTATAGTTTTAAACCACCACCATCATCATCATCATCTTCTTCGTTGTCTTCGTCTTCGTCACCAATTCATTTATTCATACCACCATTAGCACTTTCATCCTCCTCCTCATCATCATCATCATTCTCAACTTATTTATCCATACCATCATCATCATCATCCCCATCATCATCAACTTTGTTGTTGCTATTGTTGTCCTGTTAAATAATGTTTATATCGTTGCTAAGCAGCAACAACAATAACAACAATAGGACATTTAATCAACGACATCAACATGATGATGTGATGTAAATGACTTGAAGCTTTACACACACACACACACACACACACACACACACACACGTGCGTGAACATACATATACACACACACAGGCACACACACAAATACACACACAAACACACACACATATATACATACATATAAACTCATGTGCACACACACACACACACACAAATGCAACAAAAATACATAAACTGTTTCGTTTATGCAGCCTTTCAAATTTCTGAAAACAAAGCAAATAAATGAGAATATGAGCAGTTTGTTTTGCAGGAAATAAATGATGATGATAATAATGATGATGATAATGATGTTAATTATAATAATAATAATGTTAGCAATTATTATTATTATTATTATTATTCTGACGATGTATTTGATGGAGATGATGATGGTGGTAACCATGGTGACGATGACAAAGAAGATGATACTGATAAATAATATAACTATAATTAATTAATACAGCCACTATGATTATGATTATGATGGCTGAAGCGGAAATGCAGATGGTTATGATGATGATTAAGGAGTGAAGATGGCGATGGTGATGGTGATTAAGAGAGTGAAGATGGTGATGACGATAACAGTAGAAAAACACTCTAAACAATATATGTGTGTATGGATTTGTTTAGAAGAATTATGTACATAAGAATTAGAATGTTTTGTGCATGTACGTGTGTGTGTGTGTATGTGTGTGTGTATGTGTGTGTGCGTGTGTGTGGGTCCGCTTATATATGAAACATCTTCATCAACAACAACAACAACAGCAACAACAGCAATTAGTTGGAACAAGTAACAATGACATCTTGTCAATATGATAAATAAACAAATGCATGTGAAAGCAGAGGGAGAAAACTGAATAGAGAACAAAATATCCATATCATCATCATCGTCCTCATCCTCATCATCATCATCATCGTTATCATCATCATCATCCTTATTATTTTCGTCGTTATTTTTATCGCCATCCCTTCTTCTTTTTCTTCTTCTTCTTCCTTATCATTATTTTCATTGAAACCACAGTAGGTACATACATGCATGTATACAAACACACACACACACACACACACACACAAGTTTGCAAACCTCTGATAACTCGTGCCGGGTTCTTCGTAGTTGACTGACATCTTCCGGAACCTATTCTCCTCAATCTTCCTTCTTTTCTGTTGTTTCTCTTCCTCGGTTAAAATGTACTCCTTGCGCATCCCTGAAAAATTTAGAGATGGGCAGTCGATGATGAGAATGAGTAATGTGCCCAGACAGAATGTTAAGATCAGTGGTGAAGAAGGTGAAATTGGAATAATCATCATCATCATCATCTTCATCACCATCATCTTCATCATAATCATAACCTCCACCATCATCGTCATCACCACCCTCATCGCTGCCACGGACCTATTTCAAAGCACTTTTTGAGTCGACATCTCTTGCAGAATCTCCTGTTGGACTGATCCATCCGACATCTCTCATCGTAAGGGCATTTGAAATAATCCTGTGTGTGTGCATCAATGTGTGTGTGTCATTATGCGTTTAAGTCAGTGTATGCATGTGTGTGTGTGTGTGTATGTATGTGTGTGTGTGAGAGAGTGTGTGTATCTTAGCGAGAATGATGTGAACGATGGTGCCAACGTCATAATGGCAGTAAACATCTGACTGACTGACTGGCTAACTGACGATAGCAACATAAGCACCGCCAAAACAACAAAGAAACAAAAACAACAACAACAACAACGACAAAAAGAACAATAAGAAATCAAGTCCATAGGCATAAAAGGGTTATAAAGTCCAGCAATTTACTTCTAGGTGTGCGCGCGCGAGTGAGCCTGTGCGTGCGTGTGTGTGTGTTCAATTTCAAAATTATCGATGATAACAACAATGATGAAGACGATGGTGACGCTCACGATAATGATGACGACGACGATGACGACAACGATGATGATGAAGACGATGGTGATGTTAGGCTCAGATGCCATCTCAATTTTAATTATCTCACTATGACTCTTTTCTCCCCACAATAACAAAGAAGATGTAGAGGAACAATGATGATGATGGTAAAAATGTTGTTGTTGATGATGATGATGATGGTGGTGATGATGATGATGAAGATAATGGTGCTGTTGATGATGAGGATGAAAATGAGGGAAAAAAATGATGAAGTTGCTCTGATAAAAGCTACAAATTAAATTAAAACAATTACACTGACCACAATGTAACCTTTTTATGGCACACGCACACACGCAGGCACACACACACATAAACGCACAATAAACCCACATATATACACAACCATTCATACAAAATACAAACACAAATTAAAAAAGAATGCACACATATACCTATCCAAAACGAAACCAAAGACCTACAACCACACATATATATGTGTATAATGTATATATATTTGTGTGTATGCAAATGTATGCATGTATGTATGTGTGTGTATGAATGTGTGTGTGTGTGTGTGTGTATAAATGTGTGTGTGTGGTGTGTGTGTGTGCAATGCGCCTTTTAAAAAATTCAGCAGGTGTACATACTCTTTTTATATGTACAACTACACACAAAAATTACACATACATTTACCTATATATTAATATAAACACAACTATATATATATATATATATATATATATCATCATTTAATATCATCATCTTTATCAAAATCTATACATCAGACATTGTTCTCCTAACCGTTATCATCATCACCATCATCCATCTACATCAACATCCCGATATCATATAACAAATATTATATTTCTATCATTTCATAAATGGACATCACCAGATATCATCATCATCATCATTATTTTCACCATATTATCTTATGTTTTTTTTTAGAGTTTCTATCACCATTATTCTTATCAACTCTATCACCATCATCACCACCACCATCATCATCATCATTATCATCATCATCATCAGTGTCCCAACCCAGACACCTGGCTTTTTCATTCAATATTTTCACCATCAATCATATCCTAGCACTTATATATATATATATATATATATATATATATATATATATATATATATATAATGTGTAATTAATTATTTATTCATATTTTAATGTATAAATGTATGCATGCATGTATGTATGTATTATTAGGAAATATTATGTATGTATGTATGTATGTATGTATGTATGTATGCATGCATGCATGCATGTATGTATGTATGTATGTATGTATGTATGTATGTATGTATGTATGTATGTATGTATGTATGTATGTATGTATATTTGAGTAGCATGTATGCATATGTGTATACATGAATGGATGTTTGTATGTTATGTTTGTATGTATGAACGTATGTACATAATTGTGTTTGATGTATGTCTGTAGCCATTAATCAAAATCATTACAACCACAATCATTAGCATGCTCTTTCCATACTACCACCATCATCACTATCATCATCATCATCACCACCGCAAACATCATCATTATCATCACTACCATCATCACTATCATCATCACATAAAGCAAAACATCAAATGTATCATCATATCTATAGCTATAGTGACATAAAACCAACTAATAAACAAATAAACTACTCAACCAACCAACCAACCAATCAGTCAATATATGAACCAATCGAATGATTCCTAACAAAAAAGAAAGCAAGCAAACAAACAAAAAAAACATCATAAACAAATTTTTTCTTACTTTTAATAATATTCATAATGTGACTCAAATACATCTCAAACAAGTTCTCTCTCATTAATATTCTTAACATGATCAGATAGACACAACTTGCACTAATCCCTAACTCACCACTCCTTTGTAGGCATTCCTCCTAAAAAAGGCCTTACAAGATTCACAGGAAATGGCGTCAAAGTTGTACCCAAGAGCTTTGTCCCCGCAGACACCGCAAATTTTATTGTCTTTGTGCTTTCGTAGTCGAGAGCTGCCATCAATATTGTTGATGTTGTTGTTGCTTGAGCTGTTACCATTGCTGATGATTAAGTTGTTGTTGTTGGGGATTATGTTGCCATTGATGCTGTGGTTGTTGTTGTTGATGTTGTTGTTCTGCTGAGACATGAGCCAGAATGGAGATATCGGGGCTGGAGAGGGTATGGAGTTTTGATCCGTATCTCTCGTGCAATCATCATCTGTGTCAGTCTCCATTGTGACTGACAGTTCAGGGGTCCAGTTCAGATTAGTGCAGATTGATTAGTAATTAGTGAACAGGCAACAGTTTCAATTTAATTCTGTTGCCAAACTTTTTTTAAAATTCAAATAAAACTTCTACTATGTTATGACTTCCATATAATAAAACTACAGCATTCAACTTTTCAGGCAGTTTTTATAACAATAGGAGAAAAAGTTAATTCTATAATATCAAGACTATCCTTCCAACAGTGCATTATGTACAGTTAAGTGTTCAGTAATTAATCAATTGTTAGTCTGCACCAATTAAATTTTTTGATTAATGATAATTAGAAAGCAATAAAATGATAGAAATGTACTTGTACTTTAGAATATTAATCTATGCCTAGCATGATCATTAATTATGTCATAAATACCTTTGTCTCAATATAATATCAATGTGAATAATTTCATGTGCACTGGTGCTCGCAGACGTCCTTGTATATGTTTGTCTACATTTTCTTTAATTTGTTCATTTATTATTTTATATTTATGTTATAAGATTCAAAAGTTACACCGGCACACCATCAACCCTCATTGATATGAATGAACAAGCCTGTAAATATATCAAGTTGATAATTATGAATATTCATTAGAAAGTTGTATACATTATAATAAGTAAAACAACAAAAACAGTACAATACAATAAAAATGAATAATAAGAAAACAGCAAAAATTATTATACATTTAAATTTATGTAAGCTGCACTTGACAAGTGAACTGTCAACTCGAGTGCACATCACATTGTCTGTAAAGAAAGTGTTAATCTTGAATTTGTTGTAAATAATTAAGTAACTTATTTTCCAACACAAACTGCAATATTTAACTTTTTTACCAGCAAAAATAAGATTTTTTAAATTCCTACAAATATATTAATTAAAAACTTTATAATTTTTTATTTATTATAATTTATTTATTTTATATTATAATACTTATTTACTTATTTATTATAATTATCATAATATAGATTCATTTGAAACTATTTAATTTCAACCTTTAACAAAAGTTTTGATTAGTAGAAAATTTGAAAGTTATTTGGTTTCAATTCTTACAGATTGTAAAAGTATATCAAATGAAAGTTTAAAAATGCAAGCACTGATCTCAAAACAAAAGTGATCCTAGAAACTCAATGTGAAACTAAAAACGGTCGACAGTCAAATCAAGTGCTTTCCGGACGTGTCAAAAAATTACAATTTTAACTTGCAAGAAATTTAATTTAAACAACTTAAAATTTAAATATCAAATAAAAGAAAAACGAACAAGTTGATGATGTTTTGTCCAAAGTGAAACAGACAACAAAAATACAAGCCCGTCCAAACTTTTTTTGGACGTTTGAAGACGAAACGTGCAAAAATTAAAATCGAAACATTTCAAATTTGAGATTAAAAATAAATTATTTGAATTAAAAAATATGATTTTAAATCAATAAAACACTAATAAAAAATGTGTCACTGGGCCTGCGCAAAAAGCAGTGATTAATAATGTGACGCTTACTTTTTAAGGAATTAAAAAAGTATTTTACCATTAGCCCTACACACATACTGACGCCAGACGGAACCACACTCGCGAAACACAAAATTTCTGTTATTAAAAACCAAATTTACAGCATTACTAAATAGAAAATTAGAGAAAAATTTACAATTGAAAGAAGTCAAATCCCAACGTAATCCTGATTGTAACCTATCATAAATCAATAACTGAAACCTACATTAAAAAAACCGATAGAATTTTATTTAAAAAAATAATTAAATTTTAAGATGAAAAAAGAAGATGGAATAAGAATTGATTGAAAGTTTTCAAATTTCACAGAAATTTTTCACTGGATCAACATCAGACAAGGGCTTCTTTGATAGTTCTCATCAGCAAATTTGATTGGTTAACCAAATGGTTGGCACTTAAAAAGACATTTTGCTTCCTGTGCGTAATAAATCAAGCAATTCATTAATCAATTAATTAAATAATTAATAAATTTTTCAACCCTTCATTTAATCATTCACTCATTCATCCAATTAATCGTTCTATCTCTCTCTTTCTCTCTTTCCCTTACTCGCTATCTCTGAAAAAGTCTTTCAATGTATTACTGAAATTTCTGGAATACTTAACAAATTCTTTCTTGCGAATGTCTAAGACCTGGAAAAAATGAGAGATGGACGGATGGTTGGATGAAAATATAAAATAATAATAATAATTACGTCATCAAACAGCAAATAAAACGAAGGAATAACAATTCAATCAAATAGCTTATCTAACATTTAACCATAAAAAACAGAACATAAGACAAACCAAAACAAAGAGACAACATAATAAACAACAAAAACATTAACATAATTTATGCATATATAACATACTTGTCTGTACTGCTCACTGATATAAGAGAAGATACTGTTAACTGAATCTAGCAGCAACCTAATGGCACTGGCTATTTCCCTGGTTGAATGTCAAAGTCATAATTAGCAGAATAATTATTACAATTGTTTTTTATTATAATATAATTATAAATATTTATACATAATTGTGATCGTTAACTAAAACACACATATTGGATTGGATGTGATATACAATCAGTCAGACATCTTAGCCGTGAGACTAATAAAATATTTATGATTGTGAAATAAAATCATTATTGAATAGCCAAATAGAATTATAAATGTAATAACTTGATGGTTTCCAGAAATTTTTTTCTATCATAAATCTCATCAGGAATTCTGCTAAGAATTTTTTTCAGGTTTGTCGACCTCTCATTTAACAATTGTATTGGTTCCTCCACTCTATCTACTAGGAATTCTGAAAGATATAAGAATCACTACACATCAAAAACCTCAAAATTTCCATTATCAAATTATACATTTTCATGCCCAGGAGACTGAGTACTAATGAATCTAGTAAAAAATACCAGTTTAAGTCACTACATCATAGTCACATTTGAAAAAAATTGAACAATTGTGCAAGTTTAGTAATGCATAATGGTAACTATAATGCTATTTATTGGGTAGATTCAAGAGACTATACATCAAAAACATCTATATTTTCATTAACAAATTATACATTTTCAAGCTCAGGAAATTAAGAACTAGGTGAATCTAGTGCCAATAGGGCTCCCATTTACTTTTCGCAAAAAAAAAGACAATTTTTACAAAAAATCTAAATTCAGTAAATACTAATAACAATGGAAACTTCTTTTATTCAACTTCAAAATTTAAAACCAGATATGTGTGTGTATATATATATATATATGTCTGTGTAATTCGGCAGTAGGTTCTCTTTTATACATATTTTGTTGAAATCGATCGCTGTTATTAAATTATTTCTTTTCTTTTTTAGATTTTCCAACTTTCGAATTAGTTTTTTATGTTCGTATAATCTAGGTTTGAAATTTCAAACTTACTTTGTTTAGATATCTATA